ATAATTGAATTGAAATAATGAAAATAATTTTAAAGAAATTACATTAACAATATTCTTATAATATTAAATAATTATTTTATCTCTCGATCATCTTTAATTATTATAAAGAATGGAGAAATCAATCACACCGAGTCAAAGACTCGGAGTGATCGATATCTTCGTGTTTTATAATAATATTCTTTTAAGTGTTATTGAATTTCAAAAGGATTGAATTTGAAATTTTGAAAATCTTAGTTGCAGTGGAAAATTAATAATGATTAAATATTTATTTAAAAATTAAGTTATTGGTGTTTTTGAAGAATTTTACAAATTAGGAAATTCGAAAATAGATGTAATAGAACATTTTTTAATAGATAAGTTTCAGGAAGTAATTATAACATCACGAGCATAAAGAGCCATCCAAGAAGCAGTTTATCTTGTGGCAGCATTTAATTCGGAGCAAAAGCTTCAGTATTTAGAAGCGTTTAAAGTTACAAAATTGCTGCCAGATTTTTTTCTGTGGTTATTATTGACCTCTGTATTCTTGTTTATGTGACACTAATTTTCACTCCGAAATCTCGTTCCTCTGAAAAAAAGTATATCTGTCGAAAGGGACAAAATTACCAAACGAACTCTCTGACATCAATAAATTGAAAAAGTATACCATCTCTTCCCTGGATTTTTTCTACTCATTTTCTACTCTTCCAAGTTTTGAAAGACGAATTTCAGTGTTCACTGTATGGAAGTCGAACAATTTTTCGGAAAACCAAGATTCTGACCCAGTGACCGCACTGTGCGCACCCGCAGCGTAAGAAATATGACCGCGACAATAAATTGGAAAGTTGAAGCTCAAAACTTTTAAGCGCAGGATCACTATGGCTTCTAGAAATGACATGGTTTGAAGGGAGAGAATTTATTGGGTGAAATTTTCCTTCAAACATTGTCTCGAACCCACCGTGGTCTTCGTCGCCTTTTTCATTCTAAAATTGAATATATTGGAACAGAGAACTCGTACCAGAAAGGAGAGCATTGTCCTCGTAATTTGCTTTGGTTGACACTCGAGCTTCTGGGCAATTTTCTCTTGAACAAAACTCGAACTGACTCGAACTTTACAGTCCCTTTTTAGGTATACATACAGAGAGGGGAATATTGGCCTTGGGAAAACCGTGACTGGGTCACGATTTCCAAACCAAAAATCACGAGTAGCACATTATTGCGATTGTTACTCATAACTGAACCGTGCTACCGTTTTATTTAGTCGGTTCGAGATCGTAAAATTTCATGACTCCAATTATGACTTCTGGTTAATTTTTATTGCACTTTTCCTTTCAACTCCAAGGGGATATTATTATCCGTTTAAATTTTTATGATGTTTGCACAAAATTCAACCATTTGGATATAAATTCATAAATTCACATTCACTGTAGTGATTCAACTCATAAACAAATTATAAATATTCAGAATTGACATTTATCATTATAAAAATATATACTTCTGTTTTTCCCTGCTTTCCAGGCGGAATTTTGGCTCTTTCCCTGATCGCCATACAAAAAAAAATCCATAGGGAAAGTTCAATCATTATCATTCTCACTGGATTCAATTCTCTCCAATCCATTCAATTTAAAAAATTAAAATTATAAAAAAAGATAATTTTCAGGCAAAAATTTGATTTTATAAACCGCAGACGTCAGGGAATTCAGAGAAAAGTATAGGGGAAAGTAAAATTGATCAGAAGTCAGGGATTTTTATTAATACTATTAATAGTACTGGAAAAAATTTAATTTTTAGAATTCAAAATAAAATTCTGAATTTTGATGTTTTTCTTGTATAAACTATGAAATTGACACGAATTCTAATACAAAACCTTCAATTTTTTCTACTTCTGACAGTAATTCCTTTTTAAATAACTTAATTCTTGAAGAACTATCATAAAAAATTATTACTTAGAAATTATTTAACGAACAATTTTACTTAAACATATCACAATTAATTAAGTTTTAAAAAAGTTGCGTTTACAAATTTCAATAAATAGGTGCACTTCAAAAGGTTTCAATTTGAAATATTTATTATAAAATTTAAATTTTCAATGAATTTTATTAAAAAGTTTAAAAAACTAAGATTTTTGAAAAATTTTAATCATTTAAATATTCTTCTGAAATTAGTTAAATTTTTATATATATAAAGAATTAATTAATAAAAACAATGGATTTATAGAAGAATTTTAGTTAAATTTTAGAGGAGTTATTACAAATAATTGCAGAAATTCAATTATTTTCATTAGTAATAAAATTCTTCGCAGAAATTCAATTATGTTCAAAAATTTTAGCCTTGGCAAAATTTAAATTAACTTTATAAATAATAAAATTCTCCTCCAAAAATCAATTATTTTCAAAAATTCAATTAATATTCTTGGCAAAATTTCAATTATTTTCAAAAATTTTCCTCAACTCAATGATTTGACAATAATTGAATCATTATTTTCATAAATAATACAAATTTTTCAGGAATTCAATTATTTACAAATTTTTTATAAATTTCTTCCAAAAATTCAATTATTCTCATAAATAATGAAATTTAACAGGAATTAAATTATTTTCGCATAAATAATGAAACTCATTGCAGAAATTCAATAGTCTAATGTACTAAAATTTTTCACAGAAATTCAATTATGTTCAACAATTTTTTTAAATTTCCATTAAAATTTCAATTATCTTTATAAATATAATAAAATTCAAAAATAACATAATTATATTAATAACATAATTCAATTATTTTCAACAATTTTTTTTTTATTTTCCAAAAATGTTCAATTATTTAAAAAGAATTTAATAACATTCTTCGCAATAATTCAATTTTTTTAATAAATAATAAAAATTTCACAAGAATTCAATTATTTACAAATTTTTTATAAATTTCTTCTCCAAAATTCAATTATTTTCAAAAAATTAATTAAAATTCTTGGAACATTTCATTTACTTTCAAAAATTTTTCTCAATTTAATAATTTTCAATATCTACTATTTTAATAACATTTTCAAATAGGATTATTCATTAATTTGCAAATTTTTTTTATAAAACTCAATTCAATTGTTTACAAATTTTTTATGTTTTCTTCGTAATAATTAAATTATTATCATAAAGCATAAAATTTTTTACAGGGATTCAATTATTTCATAAATAATAAAACTCATCGCAGAATTAAATAATTCGAATTAAATTCCTTGAAAAATGTAATTATTCTTGAAAATTTTATTAAAATTCGTCAAAAAAATTCAATTATTTAAGTTAACAAAATTCTTTATGAGAATTCAATTTTGAAAAACATTTATTATTCGTTTTTATTGAAAATTAAATCATTCTCGGACGTAAAATTTCTGAAAAAAATTAAAATAATAATTTCACTGTTAACTATATTTTTTAATTTGAATAAAATTTTTAATTTCACTATACATAATTTTGGTATGCCGTATGAGCACACGTAGAATGTCAATTTATGGAAATAACAACAAATGAAAGTTTCCTGAATTGAAGTTGCACATTGAAATTTGAAAAATAAAAAAAAAACAAAGTATGAAAAAAACTACTATTTAAAAAATAATACTCTGGTAAAAATGGCCTTTGGGAAAATAATACTTTGGAAAACATGTCATTTGGGAAAATAATAATTTGGACCCTTCGGAATTGGAATTTTCGTTTTGGAACTTTTATCTCCTTACCTTTGAAAAGGTTATGAGAATTCAATTATTCAATAAATTATATTTATTTTTGTTTTAAATAATTGAATTCTCGTAGAATTTTCTAATAAAGATTCACTCAAAAATAAATTTTTAAGATAAAAATTATTAGAAAATTTCTAATTCTAAAACAAAGTGTATTTGTTTTAATGAAAGAAAAAAAGTTCTGAAAGAATTGCAATTTTCTTTGTTTGCAAGTAAATTATAATATTTAAAAATTGCAATAGAATTACGAACATGAGATTCAATATGGACGTGTAATCTCCACCTGAGAACGCAAAGATCACCAGCAGATGGCAGTTTAGTTCCTTCTTGGAATTTCTCTTGTCCCCTGGTGGTGACCTTGGCGTTCTCAAGTGGAGCAATTGAACCACAATTTTAATTCTTATCATTAGTAAATAGTAACTTATTTTTAAAAATAATTGTATAAGGTGAAAAAAGTGTCAGAAAGTATATCAATAGTCGCGTGAACCGAAGGCCTGCGATTCATTTAGTTTGTAGTAGGTACAGTAAAGTCAGTAAATTTAATGAAAAATTTGCTTCAAACTCTGAACTGTCCCTTCAACTCTTAAGTGAAATGGAGTTTCCTTAAATAATTGAAATACCAAACAGACTAAGAATATATCCCTCGGCGTGTTTAGAGCAAAATGCGAACGGAAGCATCAAATGAGGAATATCCTTTTGTCGAATGAAATGAGCGTGAAAATGGAAAATTTAATGCAAGAATGAAAAATCGAAGTGGAGAATAGACACTTTCTCTGGGTCAAAATGTGAAGTAAGAATGGAAGGGGTGAATATTGAGGTTATGTTTGGTATAGTCGCGCGTTCGGCCCGATCCCAAACCCCCATGGTTTCGTTTCTTGGGCTCCCTCTCTCTTTCTTCTCCTCATTGTTCCAAGTTATCTTTACCATCCCGCAGAGCCACAAAATTTACGGTAGCCTCTCAAAAGTTTGAAAACTGATGAAAACACGTCTCATCTGAAAACTGAAACAAGTCGCGTTCGTATAGTTTGTTTTTCATCTCCGCTTTCGAGGCACGCGCTGTGCACCATGTCGACCATGTCACATACATTTTTCACTTTCTACCTGTTTAAGTCAAAATTCAATGCAAATATTTAAACTTAACCGGCATGGCACCTGACACATTTTCTTCTGAATACAGTCCAACATAGAAAACGATTCTTTAGTTTTCATTTTCAAATGTCAAAACTCAAACATTGAGGAAAATATAAAGGCATACGTAGCGTTTGTAAATTGCATTTTATTTAAATTAACTACCGAATTTAATTACTTAAAAATTTTTTAGATTTTATTAAAAATAAATTTTTAATAAACTTTTTTTTGCAGTGTATAGGAAATTAATCTAAATATCCCCTTTGATTGAGAACTTTAATAATTTTTCCCACAGCCGCAATTGCGTCGGGATTTTTAAAAACATCCATTTTCGTCTCTCCAGTCGCTAAAATATCATCAAACGTTTCAGTGTCAATTTCATCTGCAATCATTCTCGGATAGAAAATAAGTGACGAGAAAACAGCGTAAATATTTCTCTTGTAAATTGCTTTTTTCAATTGATCCATTGTCGGTGCTTCCGTTTTACAACAAATTCTCCCCATTGTCATTTTTAGAGTTTGCAAATATACCTCCAGAAAATAATCATCCATTTCACATTTAATATCAATTGCAGGACAAATGCCGAGAAAGTAAAGAAGATCAATTGCTGGCGATGTAAAAATGGTCATTTGATAGTCAATCTGAAAATATATTTTATCCTTCAATACTTTATTTATTTACTGAATTAGTACAATATGCAATCGAAAGTTTGAAAAAAATTACAACGAACATTTTTTTAATTTTAATAATTACCATTAGCATATCAAGGAGAGTGCCTCGTTCGTTAGTTTTAAATAATAAATTAGAGTGCCAACAGTCTCCATGATTTAAGACGCAAAATTCTTCATTGTCATCATAGTCGTAAACTTTGGCAATTCGATTCTCAAAATTCTCTGTCATTTTTAACAATTTATGAGCCGCAGTCACAGCTTCTTGATCAATCCATTTTTCAATTATTGAATTCGCCAGAAGGGAAAGTGTAGACTCCACTATTTTGTACATATTTTCATGTGTTTCTCTACTCATTATTCCGATTTTAAATTGTTTTATTAACTCTGGTTTCTGAATATATAGAGAGGAGCAATTTTTTAGAAATCAAATTTGCTTTTTTTATTTTCATCTAAACAAAATTAATCTTTTAGGAGAAGCACTTTAGGGTTTTCGGTAGGGAAACATACAGTCAGGGTTGCCACAAAAAATTAATTTTGTTTTTCTCTGACTTTTCCCTGATTTCCAGACAAAATTTTGACTTTTTCCTTGATCCTAAAGAATTAGTAGAAAAGTTTACTAATTCAAAAGCAAAAAGTCAGTCACTGTTTTCTAGAATTTTTAACTAAAATTCTTCATTAAATCAATTAGATATTATTAACAATTTTTGAAAAAGTTCTTTAAGAATTTTCAAATCTATTTGTTTAAAATTCAATATTTTACGCAATTTCGATTATTCGAAAATTCTTCAATTAAATATATATTAGAAAATAAAAACATTAAATACTTTCAAAAAAATTCAATTAAACATTTTCAGAAAAATTAATTCTTCAGAATTATGAGTTAAATTTATGGAAAATTCAGATTTTTAAAGATTTTAATTTAAAACCTTTTTAAAATTCAATTATTTCCAAAAATTAACGCTATAATGCTTTTAATATTTAATTATTATCTAAAATTTTAACTAAAATTAATTTCTAAACAAAATAAAAAAATTCTACGAGAATTCAATTATTTAAATACAAATATAAATAATTTGTTGAATAATTGAATGTTTCTTAAAATTGAATTCTTATTAAGAATTTTATAAACAAATATTTAAACAATTGAATTCTATGAATTTTAATAATAAATTTTGTGTTAAAAATAATTGAAATTCTGCTGTGACTTTCATTATTTATGAAAATAATTGAATTCCTTTAAAACAAATTTATTATTTATGAAAATAATTAAATTTTAGTGTAGAATTTCGTTAAAGTTTTTTAAATAGTTGAATACTTTTGAAAAATGTTATTAAAATTGAAGATATTGAATATCATTGAATTGAGGAAAATTTTTTTAAATAATTGAAATTTTGACGAATTTTTATCAAATTTTCAAGAATAATTACATTTTTCATTAAAAATAATTGAATTTCTAAAAAGAGTTTGATTATCTATGAAAATAATTGAATCCCTGTAAAAAAATTTATAATTTATAATAATATTGAATTATTGCGAAGAAAATTTATAAAAAGTTTGTAAATAATTGAATTCCGGCAAAATTTTTATTATTTATTAAAATAATTAAATGTTTGCTTAGAATTTTATTAACATTTTTTTTAAATATTTAAATTCTTTTGAAATATTTTATTAAAATAGTAGATATTAAAAATCATTGAATTGAGGAAAATTTTTGGAAATAGTTAAAATTTTGCCAAGAATTTTACTAAAATTTTTGAAAATAATTGTATTTATTTTTAAAAATATTAATTGCTTTCTTCATTTTGTTTAAATCAACCAACAAATAAAAAATTGCATTTTGAAAATAGGAGTTTATTTTGACAAGAAGTCTTTTTTTTAATGAGTTAAGACTAAATGTAACTTTTTAGAAATTAAATATTCATTCCCTTTTTGTAGGTGTTAGAATCTCATTTTAATTTTAATTAATTATGAAAATAATTAAATGTTTGCGTAGAATTTTAGTAAATTTTTTTTGAAATATTTGAATTCTTTTAGAAAATTTTATTAAAATAGTAGATATATAATATTGAAAATCAATGAATAGATGAAAATTTTTTAAAATAATTGAAATTTTGACAAGAATTCTGCAAAATTTTGAAAATAATTGAATTTTGGAGTAGAATTTTATTATTAATTTATAAAAATCCCTTACTTTTCCCTGACCTGTGGCAATCCTAAGGACCAACCTTGACTACATTTTTTTTAACGTTTGTAACTTTTTTTAATTTCAGACCAATCAATTGCCTAAATTTATTTCCAAAAGAAAAGTTGTAAACAAAGTTGATAAGGTTGTCCAACCTTATTTTTTCATTAATTAAATAAAAATCTTACGTCTTCAAAAAGTGAAACAGAGGCAGCGTGGAATTTTGCTAAACGATCAATAGCCATTAAAGCGTACTGCATAGACAGTCCCTTCTGTCTATCTGGAAGTCGATATCCTTTTGCGCCAAGATCCTCCATTATAATAAGATCTGAATTTTCATTACTGTAAAAAATTTTAGGTCCCATTCGAAAACCTAATCGTTCCTCCAATTGTGGTAACACATCCCACAAAAATTTTATCTCAGTTGGAAATAATCCTTGTTTTCGAATTAAATCCAGTCCTGCGCCTTCGGTATTCGGTTCCTTTTTCACTATTAAACTTAACAAGTTTCCATTCTTGTCGTTTTCTTCTCCATCTTCAATGTATCTTTATCACCCATTTGAAAATTATATTTTCAATTCAGAAATATGTTTAAATGTTTTAAATTATAATTTAATCGAAAAGAATTGTTAATTTTAATAATAATTCAATATTATTATTATTACTATTATTTTTCTTTATTTTTCTTATTTTTCTTACTTTTCTTAAACTGAAATCTATAAATTTGAATTACTAACCTTATGTGAATCCTGCATATATCACTGAGACCATGTTCTGCTTTGGAACTTAATGGATCTTGTTTGACTTGTTTTATTATAAAATTCTGATGACCCAATTCGTTTTGTAAAATTTTCTTAAAAAGTACTTGGTCCGTGTTGTTACGCAACATCTTTTGCATTCAGTTATATAATGATTGAATGATTTAAAATTATCCCAAAAGTTGAAGTCTCTGACTTTTCTCCCCTTCGTCTTATCGAAATGAGTCGGCATTTAAGATTCAATTATGAAAATGTCCACTTAGTTTCGTGCACATATGAATTGCATAATTTTGTGCTATATCATATCAACCAGAATATTGATATGTCAAATATCTTGTTTACTGTTTGAGTAATAATCTTTTTTTTCTCAATTATATTCATATGTTTTTGGTGCTCAGAGAAAGCACAGAGAAAGCATATCAAGAAAAAAAAACTGTTGCTCACAGTTCAAAATTTTGACAATAAACTTTAAAAATATAAAAGAACGTTTTTTTCCTCTCGCCATTTAATTTTTTTATTTATTTCAGTTGATTCAATGAAAGATTAATATTTGTTGTTAGCCATTAGCAATACTTCGACATATTTTGTCAAACTCTGTGCCATATTTCGCCATCCTTTACAGGGTTGTCACGCTTTTGCTCGTTTCAAATTCCCTGACTTTTCCAGGTTTTCCAGCTTAAAAAACGAAATTTCTCCAGGTTTTTAAAACTAAATTTATATTTTACAAAATTAAATAATTCCAATAAATGTTTACAAATACAATCATAGAATTTTCATATAATACTGTATTCCGCATTGTTATATTTATCTTTTTTAAATAAATATTTAGTCATTACCTATAATTTTTCCATGAAAATTAATATTTTCAAAAATTTCAAATTCAAACCGTTTTGAAATTAAACAACTTATAAAAAATTGTTATAAAACATGACCGACTGATAAAATTATTATTTTATATTATAAGAATATTGACTACTGTAACTTATTCAAAATTACTTTTATCACTTCAATTCAATTATTGTTTTCCAGAATTTTTAACTAAAATTTTTCTTTAAATTAATTATTTTTAATAATTTTTGAAAAATTCCTTTAAAAATTTTCAAATTCTTTTGTTTACAATTCCATTTTACGAAATTTCATCGATTATTCGGAAATTCTTCAATCAAATATATATTAGAAAATAAAAACTTCAAATAACTTAAAAAAAATCCAATTAAACTTTTTAAAATTCAAAAGTAAAATGCCATTCACTATATATAATTAAAATTTAGGGAGTTTAATATTTAATTATTATCTATAATTTTAACTAAAATTTATATTTAAATAAATTTTTATTAGAAAATTTTACGAGAATTCAATTATTTAAAATCCAAAAATAAATATAATTTATAGAAGAATTAAATGTTTTTTAAAATAGAACTTTCATAAAGAATTTTATCAACAGATTTTTAAATAGGTAGTTAAAATTATTTTGACGAATTTTAATAACATTTTTAAGAATAATTTCATTTTTCGAAAAATTAGATAAAAATTGTACCTAATAAAAATAATTGAATCTCTGTAAAAAATTTTATTGAATTGAGAAAAGTTTTAGAAAATAATTGAAATTTTGACAAGAATTTTATTACAATTTTTGAAAATAATTGAAATTTTGACAAGAATTTTATTAAAATTTTAGAAAATAATTGAAATTTTGACAAGAATTTTATTATTTATAAGGATAATTGAAATTTTGACGAAAATTTTGTAAAATCTTTTGAACACAATTGAATTTTTGCTAAGAATTTTATTGCTTTTGAAAATAATTGAATTTAACAAAGAATTTTTCTATTTTTGAAAATAATTGAATTCTTTCTAAGAGTTTTATTTAAATTTCTGAAAATAATTAAATTTCTGCGAAGAATTTTATTACTTTTGAAAATAATTGAATTCTTATTGAGACGAATTTTAATGTTTCTTTCTAATTAATTGAATTTGTTTGTGAAATTTTATTGAAATATGTAGATATTGAAAATAATTGAATTTTGATAAATTATTTAAATTAATTAAATTTCTACAAAGAATTTTATTAAAATTATTTTGAAAAAAAATTGAATTGTTAAAAAGAATTTCATTAAAATTTTTGAAAATAATTTAATTCTTTCAAGAAATTTAATTAAAAGTGTATTCATACTTAAATTCTAATAAATAAATTATAGGAAGGCTTTTCAAAATAATTGAATTTCTTTGATGAATTTTAATAAAATTTTTTTATTTATTAATTTTTTTTTATAATTATATTTTTCAAGAAATTCCATTAAAATTGTATTAAAAATAATTGAAATCCTGCGATGAGTTTTATTATTTATGAAAATAATTGAATCTATGTAAAAATTTTGATTATTTATGAAAATAATGGAATTATTGCGAAGAAATTTATAAAGAATTTGTAAATAATATAGAATTCCTGTGAAATTTTTATTATGTAATTAGTTGATTGAAAATTGAAATTTTACAAAATTTTAAATTAAAACCTTTTGAAGTTTATATCTACTTATAAAAATTGTAAACGCAACTCTTAAAATTGAATTAATTTTGAATTACTAAAAAAAATTATATTTCAAGAATAAGCACAATAACTTTAAAATACATAATAATTTTCCAGGATTCCGATCAAAATTCCCTGACTTTTCCAGATTTTTTCAAGGTTTATAAAATTCCCTGAATTCTTAGTAAAAAATATTAGACTTAGTAAATTATTATTTTTTACAGCGTATTTTTGCTTTACAATTTTTCTTTAAACTTTAAAAGAGTTGAATCTGTTGGATAATTTACAAGTGAAGAGAATTCAATTTTTTTTTTTTTTTTTGAAAAATATAGTAAACAAGAAGTCAGAAACATATTTTCATCTTTAGAAACTTTTTACTATTTCCTATACACATATATACCTAAAGAAATATAAATTTTAAAGTCCAACTCATTGTAAATCGAAAAAAAGTAAAAAAGAACGTCAAAAAAGTGAGAAAAATTTTGACATTTCTGTTTATTTTCATATTCGGGGGTTTTTTTTCTCATTCTTCTTCTTCTTGGTGCTGGTCAAGGTCTGGTTTATTTCAGGGGTCATATAACTTTATATATTAGCAAAATGTTTTCGGTTTTTCGAGATTGTTTGAAAAACAGGACTAAAATTTAAAGGCCTGGTTATAGTGCGGGGTGTGTATGCGGTTTCAGAAGTTACCGCAGTGGGGATAGAATATAGAAAGTTTTTGGCTCACAAAATATTGCTGAGAATACGAGCGGTGGTTGTAAATCATCTTCATTCTATCACTGCTTCTTGGCTTTTTATATTTATTGGTTTATGTTTGTTGACGAAAACTGTCAGACTCTACTTTTCATGTTTACCTGCTTTTATTATACAATTTGAACATTTTTTTTTAATTTACTTTTTTTTTTCTAATTTATCAAAATTGTTTGAAAAATATTTGCTAATATTAGTTAAGAAACAGATCGAAAGAAATTTATTCTGAAATAAAAAATTATATATTTGTATTCCTAGCAGATATTTTAGAATAGTCTGTGTACTTAAATTTGTAATAATTTGTACTTAAATTTATAAACTATTCTTAAAAAAAATATATCCTCAATATTTTAGTAAATATTCTAAGATTCTTGGAACGAAATTTAATGAAAAAATCTATTCTTAAATTTTTATTACAATAAACAAGTTTTTAAATCTCTCGACATGATCCGTATATAAAAATTTATTTCCATTTTCTTATCATACTTTCATTTGAGATTTTCCTCTTAATTATCTCACTGTTATAACAAAGTTAAGTAATTAATAATAAGGAATGTAAATGAATGTTTCATGTCCAAATAAAATATTATTATTAAATTTTTCTTGTTTTACTTTTCCAATAAAAATTGAATAGTTTTTATTTTAAAGAGTTTGCTAATTTGTTTATAGTTTCATAAATTTTCAGATAAAGTTTAAAAAATCTACTTTTTGGGTAAGTAAACCTATTTCATAAAAATAAAAGGGGAAAATGTAAAATATTCTTTTAAAACTTGAGTTAACAATGAGGAAAAATAGAAAATTGCGATAAGAGATTGAAAAATTCATTTTTATTTTTATCGTTGCAGTGAATAAAACGTCTGAGTGATTTTTAGACGTTAGTATACAGTTTACATACTATTTTACAGACTTTTAATTACAACTTTACTAAATTTGCTACATTCACCATATTTATAATTAAAATTATTCCTAAATATGGAAATAAACGAATTGGATTTAAAATTTTTCGAGAAACTTCTTCGCGATTATTTAGAAAATAAACAAATCACTTTACTTGGAATGTCAAAAAGTTTAGCTTCTGAAAAAGGAGACAACTTTTTCAGTGAAATTTACAGAATATTTTTAAGATACAATTCTGATTTGAAATGTTCAAGAAAAATAGAAGAAGAAACAATGACATTAATTGTAAAATCAGAAATTACAAACGTGAAGAAAGAGGCGATTCATGAAATGTTTACGAAGGAATTTAGAATTCTTCAACAAGTATTGCCAGAGGTTGAGAAACTCATGGGATGTTCTATTGGACCAAAATTACTCTACAATAATGAGAATGGGAATTTTATCATTATGGAGGATTTAGTGTCACGAGGATTCATAATGTTGAATCGAAAAAATGGTTTATCTTTATCGCAATGTTTCGTTGCTATTGAGAAAATTGCAAAATTTCACGCTGCAACTGTTGCCCTTACTGAAAAGGTACTTTTTCTAAAAATTAATTCTCTATCCTTGAGGTTAATTATACTCTATCTTTTGTTTTGATGCACAAAAAAGTAATTTTCATGGTATCAGAATAATAAACACACTATATTAGAAAATAAACCTTATTTTCAATTTAGTTTTGACTAAAACCATTTACAAAAAGGTTTAGAACTTTCTGATTGAATTTCAGCCTGAGAGGTATTTCAAGTTTTAAAATTAACTAAGTCATCTATACTGGTCATAAACTTAAAGGCTATTACTTTTAAATAATTTTTGTTTAATGATGTAAACAGTTTCATAAGTTGTTTTCTCTATGTGTTTATTTATTTTTTATGTATGAATTGAGAGGTTTTATTTTAGGAGCCAAATACAACAAAATATTTCGTTGAAGGAATGATAAGTGGAAAGTACTCTCAAAATTATTTTCGCTTTCTTGAAGTGTCCTTATTAAATTTATGTGAAGGAGTAAAAAGATGGAATGATGAAGAGTGTAATAAAGCGATAGATAAATTGAAAAATATAATTTCCACTTTAAAACCGAGACTTTTGAGTATGTACGAATATGATGCTGAGGAGTTTTGCGTTTTAAATCACGGGGACTTTTGGACGAATAATATTATGTTTAAAAATGATGACACGGAAGATCCCAGTGATGCTATGCTCGTAAGTATTTGATCATACAAGTATTTACAGGTAAAATCATAAATATTACATATATTTTTACAAAACCCTTTATTAGTTCGCCCCTCAAGCAAAAAATCGTGTTTTCTTCTCCCTTACGAACGGAAATCGCAACTGTTCTTCCCTTACGCCAATAAAACGTGTTTTACGCACAATAACCTATTGTATTAAAAGGAAAATTTCTACTAATTCCTAGTAAACTTCCACTGATTCTAATCTTAAAAAACTTTAAATCTACCAAATAAAATAATAAAATTTTACAAAGAATTAGTGGAAGACTTTTTACTAATTTAAATTTTTAAACTACTATGACAATAGAGTGGAAATTAGTTATGTATTATTTCAATTATTTTCGTAAGCAAAGAAAATTTTAATATTGAATAGAAAGAAATGTGATTAATTGGAAATAATTAGAAGTATAAACAATTAATTAAGAAATGTATTTGCATATTTACAGATAGATTATCAGTGTTCAGTGTATACATCTCCAGCAATTGATCTACAATATTTCCTGTGCATTTGTCCTGAATTGAAAATAAAATGTGACAAAGATGACTTATTTCTCAACAGCTATTTGAAAGTGATGGAAAATGAATTGACAAGAATGAACTGCAAAACCAAAGTTCCCTCTCTGGAAGACTTGAAGAAATCGATTTATAAAAGAAGAATATTTTCGATATTTTCAGGTTTAATTTACTTTCCAAGAATGATGTGCGATAAATCGGATGTTGAAGAATTTAATCAACTTTTAGCTAAGGGAGAAACAAAATTGAATATTTTTAAAAATCCCAATACAAGTAAAGCAGTTCGTAAACTTTTGCTAACTATGAATAATCGAGGATATTTTGATTGAAATTTTAAGCAAATATATTGAGACAAACACTATACATAAAAATTTATTTTTATTACACTTCTCTAATTATGCCAATTAATTAGAATTATTAACAATTTATTTTTTATTCTAATTTACATTATTATTAATTTTATCATGCTCAGCTAATTCGGGGTTGCCACAAAAATTTTATTTTATTTTTCCCTGACTTTCCCCTAATTTTCAGACAAACTTTTGACTTTTTCCCTGACCCTGAAGAATAATCTGATTTACTTCAAAAATTATATTAGATACTCAAAAAAATGTTCTATTACATTTGACGAATTTCTGAAATTGTAAAATTATTATTCGAAAACATCAATAACTTCTTTTTTAAATAAATATTTAATCATTATTATTTTTCTATGGGAATTAAGTTTTTCAAATTCAAACCTTCTGAAATTTAATAACTTATCAGAATATTATTATGAAGAAATTGAAGATGACAGAGTGATAAAATAATTATTTTTTATCATAAGAATATTGTAACTATAAATTCAAAGTATCGAAGATTTTAATTCTGAACCTTTTTCAAAATTCAATTATTTCTAGAAATTCACGCTATATATATATATAGCGTGAATTTCTAGAAATAATTGAATTTTGAAAAAAAATTAAAAAAAAAAAAAATTTTTTTTTTTTTTTTTTTAAATTAATTTTTTTTTTTTTTTTTTTGTATTATATATATACTTCAATGCTTTTTTAATATTCAATTATAATTAAAAATTTTAAGTGAAATTCATTTTTTAATCAATTTTTATTAGAAAATTTTTCGAGAATTAAATTATTTAAATACGAAAATAAATAATTGAATATTTCTTAAAATTGAATTTTTATGAAGAATTTTATCAAAATTTTTAAAAATAATTAAATTCTTTCGGCGAATTTAAACAAAAATTTTAAGAAATAAAGGCAATTTTCTATCATTTTATTTAAAATTTTATAAATAATAATTGAAATTCTGCCATAGGTTTTATTTATGAAAATAATTTAATTATTGAAAGGAATTTCATTAAAAAATTTTTTAAAGAATATATTTCCTGTGAAGAATTTTATTTGTGGAAATAATTGAATTTCTCAGAATCTTTTGAAACTTTTTGAAAATAATTAAATTCCATCGAGAAATTTCATTAAAAAATTGAAAGTAATTGAAATTTGAGGAAGAATTAAAAAAAATTTTTTTTAGATAATTGAATTCCTGTGAAAATGTTTATTTTTGAAAAGAATTTTATTAAAATTTCTTAAATAATTGAATTGCTTCGAAGAATTTTATTTTTTAAGAAAATAATTGAATTGTTTCGTAGATTTTTATTTTAATAAAGCATTTTATTAAAATTTTTTAAACTAATTGAATTCTCGAGAAAAATTTTATTATTTATGAAAATAATTGATTTATTGCGAAGAATTTTATTCCAATTTTTTGAAATAATTGACTTTAAGAAGAATTAAATTGAAAATAATTGAATCGTATAGGAAAATTTTATTAAAATTGCAATTTTATTAACTAAATCTTGTAAAGAATTTTTTTAAATAATAATAGAATTTTTAAAAGAATTTTATTTAAATTTTTCGAAATAATTGAATTTCTTAGAACTATTTTTTTTCAATTCTCTGAATATATTTAAATTCTTTCAAGAAACTTGATTAAAAAATTAAAAATAATTGAATTGGTGTGAAGAAATTTATAAAAAATTAGTAAGTATTTGAATTCCTGTGAAATTTTTATTAAAATTTTGTTTAAATAATTGAATTTTTTTGGAAAATTTTATTAAAATAGTAGAATATATTAAAAATAATTGAAATGAGAAAAATTTTTGAAAATAATTGAAATTTTGCCAAGAATTTCATTAAATTTTTTGAAAATAATTTAATTTCGGAGAAGAATTTTATTATTTATAAAGATAATTGAAATTTTTAAGAGAATTTTAAAAATTTTTTGAAAATTATTTAATTTCTGTAATCAGTATAGTTGTTCTTAAAATTTCTATATTTAAATTCATAAAAAATTGATATTTTCTAAAATTTCAAATTGAAACCTTTAAAGTTTATCCATTTATGAAGATTGTAAACGCAACTCTTTTGAAATCCAATTAATGTTGAAATTTTTAAGTAAAATAAATTATTTATTAAATAATTTATGAGTAATAATTTTATGATAGTTCTTCAAGAATTAAGTTTATTTAAAAAGAAATATTATTGTCAGAAATAGAAAAAAATTGAAGGGTTTATATTAGAATTCTTGTCAATTTCATAGATTATGAGGTAAGCAAAAAAGACACGAAAATTCTGAATTTTCTTAGAAAATCTAAAAATTTAATTTTTTCCAGTACTGTTAATAAAAATCTCTGACTTTTCCCTGATTTCCCTGATTGAACTGTATTGGCGCAAAATTCAAAGAAACGAAAAATTTAATTTTGTGTATACGTTTTTTGCCCCAATTGGATATCCTTATAGAAGATGAACTGTGAGTGCATTATTATCTCACTTGCCTTTATGGTATTTGGAAAAATTCGGTCTCTGTAAGGTGAAATTCTAATTTATCTAAGTAAGATGGAAATCTTATTGTACACTGCTATCCATTAAACTAATCCTTGTTTTGTATTTTCTATTTCTTTTACTACGAATAAGTAACAAGTGTTCAAGTAATACAAGAACAGCTTTTGATTAATAATGAAAAATATGAAAATTGTCATACCTACGTCGAGTCTTCATTTAAAAAAAAAAATCAAAAGTATTTTCACCGCGAGAAAGGAGACGCACTATTAAGTAATTTTCTTGACAAATAATAATCCAACAAACGTAATAACACTTTTTTCGACTCCATTCAGGGTAAGTTTAATGCCATCCGGATTAAATTTCAAAACTCATGTCTTCACATTATTTGTCTAACACCTTTTTGTGTCAGTTTTTGATGAAAGCCTTATGACACTTTTCGTTTATCTTGACGTTGTGGGACGCCAAAGAATTTCATAATATGGTTACAGTTTGCTGCTCTTGTAAATCGAAGGATTTACTTTTATCCTCGAGACGATTTTCAGATATTTCTCATTCACCTGCGTATATAGGTGGAAAAAGTCATAATAACAATCGGCTTTTTTTTAAAGAAAGATTTCAACCCTTCGATTGAGTTTCTTTCTCTTTTTATTAAAAATAAACTACACGAGAGTAGGAAAAAATTGCCATGGCATTTCTAATTTATCAATTGAATAGGTGAATGCTGGAAATTCTATGAGAAGGGAAGAAAGGTGTTATTCAAGTTGAAGCGTTGACCGATCTTTTTAGGTGAAATCGTATTATATAGTTATACACATAATATCTGACAAATCGGTGATTCGGTTTATTTCTGTACGCTTTTTTAGGAATCCACTTTATTAACCGCGCGCACTATTACAATATTCGAGAATATATTTATATCACACTGAAATTAATTGGATTTTTTCGGTGAGAAGATTTGAAACTTTTTAATGGAAATAATAAAATATACTTCAGATTTAAGAAAAATTTTTCAAATTTCAATGCGTTAAATAAGCTTCTTTATTTTTTAAATAAGTAAATATTAGGTAGAAATATACACAATTATTTATTATAGACATTAATTAATTATATACTAGAAACAATTCGGGCGCGGCTAACTTTTTACTTATACTCACATTTTTAAAATAAAATTTAGCAATTTTAAAAATAGTAGAATGTAAAAAATTTAATATGAATTTGAATGAATACGTAGCTTTAATATTATTATAACTATAATAATCATATATTCTGACACAGGGAATTCAGGGAAAAGTTATCAGGAATTTTTATTAAAAGTACTGAAAAAATTAAAATTTTTAGAATTCATAAGAAAATTCTGAATCTTGGCGTCTTTTTTGTTTGCCTCATAAACTATATGAAATTACCACGAATTCTAAAACAAAACCTTCAATTTTTCTACTTCTGACAATCATTTCTTTTTAAATAAAGTTATTTAAAAAGAATTAAGTAATTCTTGAAGAACTATGATAAAATTATTACTTAGAAATTATTTAATGAATAATTTCACTTAAATATTTCAAAATTAATTGAATTTTAAAAGAGTTGCGTTTACAATTTTTTCATAAATAAATTAACTTTAAACGGTTTCAATTTGAAATTTTATATAATTTCAATGTTGAATGAATTTAATTAGAAATTTTAATGAACTTAGATTTATGAAAAATGTTAATAATTCAAATTCTTCTGAAATAAGTTACATTTCTAAATATATATTTAGTTAATATTAAGAATAATGGATTTATAAAAGAATTTTAGTTAAAAAAACTAAAACAATCGAATGTTGAAGAAGTTAAAAATATAATTACAGAAATTCAATTATTTTCAAAAGTAATAAAATTCTTCTCATAAAATTCAATTATGTTTAAAATTAAAAAAAAATTCTCGTCAAAATCCCAATTATCTTTGTAAATAACAAAATTTTTCTCCAAAGTTCAATTATTTTCAAATGACAATAAAATTATTCTTGTCCTAATTTCAATTATTTTCAATATCTTTTAGTTTAATAAAAATTCCACAGGAATTCAATTATTTACAATATTTTTTATAAATTTCTTCGCAATAATTCAAAAATAAGGTTTGAATTTGGAATTTTTCAATGTCTTAATTCCTGTGGAAAAATAATAATAATTAAATATTTATTTAAAAAAAAAAATTATTTATGTTTTTGAATAATTTTACAATTAAAGAAATTCGTAAAAATGTAACGGAACATTTTTTTTTAGTAAAATTTTTTCCTTTATTTTCTAAAAATTAAAAATTTTCATTTTCAATGAAAATTTGTAATTGACTAATAGAATTAATAAACATTTGTTTCATTTATTTTTAAAAAAAACTTTGAATTTTATTAAAACAATTGTAATTAAAAAATTGAAATAATATAAATTATTCCCT